TTCCCTCTCAGGTTCGGACATGGCTGGGTCTCGTGTGGGACTCTCGAACCGCCTCCTTGTCTCTCCCTCCGGAGTCTCTCCTGCGGCTGCGGTCCCGCCTTCGTCTGTTTCTGGAGGGCCCTCGGGTCACCCGGCGGTTGCTCGAGGGGCTGTGCGGGAGCCTGAACTTTGCGATGGTGGTCTACCCGCCGGGTCGGGTTTGGCTTCGACGGCTGTTCTGGTTCCTTCGGGGTTCCTCCTTCCGCCTCTCTCGCGATTGCAGAGTTCGACCCCCGGGGGACTTGCGTCGGTTGCTGCGTCACCGGTTTTCCTCTTCAGGTTTTTCGGGGTTCAGTGCCTTGGCGCCTACCCGAGCCCTCGCTCGATGTGTACATGGATGCGTCGTCTCGGCTGGGGTTTTGTGACCAGTGCTCACCAGGCCGGCCAGGGGCGTTGGGATCCGTCCTTCCGTCGAGCTCACAGTACGGTGTGGGAGTTCGCGGCAGTGTGGTTTGCTCTGGGGAGGATTCGGGTGGCCCGCGGATCGACGATTCGGCTCCATTCGGACTGCTCTCCGGTGGTTCATTGCCTGAACCGCGGGGGTTCGATGCGGTCCTTGTCTCTTTGGGGTTGGTCGCTTCGGGTGACTCGTCTGCTGAGTTCTCGGGGTTTGGCTCTCCTGGCGGTTCACGTACGGGGCGTGTCCAACGTCTTGGCCGACGCCCTGTCTCGCTTCGTTCCTCTCTCCACGGAGTGGACGGTCGACGACGAGTCCTTCCTTTGGCTTTGCCAGACGTTCGGGCGCCCCGAGGTGGACCTCTTCGCGTCGGCGTGGTCGCGGCGTCTTCCCGTTTATGCGGCGCCCTTCCCCGATTGCGAGGCCGTCGGGGTCGATGCCTTTCGGCTCGACTGGACGAGGTGGGGGTTCCTGTATCTCTTTCCCCCGGTTCGGCTGTTGCTCCAGGTCCTGACTCGCTTAGAGACTTACCGGGGGAGAGTTGTCCTTCTGGCCCCTTGGTGGCCGGCCCAGCCTTGGTTTCAGGCGCTGGTTGCTCGGTGTCCGAACCCGAGGGTTTTTCCCGCGGCTCCGCCTCTTTCAGCAGATCGGGCCGGTACGTCACGTAGCTGGTTCGATCTTCTCCTCGAGTCTTCGCGTATGGTTTTTTTGACTCGAGTCTATCATCATCTCTATGGTGATCAGGTGGCCTCCTTGTTGGTGTCCCGCCTGAGGGCTTCTTCTCGGCGGCAGTATGCAGTTTTCCTGGCGGTCCTTCCGTTTCTTTTTGCGTCTTCGTCGTGTTAGCTCCTTGTCTGTTCGGGTGGTCTTGTCCTTCCTCTCGTGGTTGTTTCAGGACCGTCATCTTATGCCTAACACTGTCGCTTCGTATCGTGCGGCGCTGGCGGAGCCGCTTCAGCTTGCTTTCGGTATCGATGTTACGTCTGCGCCATTTCGCAAGCTGTCTCGTGCATTGTTTCACCTCCGGCCTGCTCATGCGTCGCCTGAGCCGTCCTGGTCTTTGGACAGAGTGCTCGCTTTCCTTTCATCTCCTCGTTTCGTTGTGGCCCCTTCGGTCCAGGATTGTTTTTCCAAGGCACTTTTCTTGTTGGCTTTGGCCTCTGGGGGTCGGGTAGGGGAGCTTCATGCTCTCCTCCGGCGCAGGGGTTTCTGCTCTTTTGGTCGTGGTGATAGTTTTGTTCGTTTGCAGCCGTCTCCTTCTTTTCTGGCGAAGAATGAGACTGCTGCGTTCCGGAGGGGTCCATGGGTGGTTGATGCTTGGTTGGTCTGGCCGGGGGTGCATCATGTTTTGTGATCGGCGGTTGCAGCCAGTTGTCTCGGCTTCGAGTTGAGGGGTGAGCGACGACCGCCTCCCGGGTAAGTCCCTCTTTTTCTGTCTGTGGGTAGTTAGCTCCGGGGAGCCGACGGGGCTCCCCCAGAAAACCAGCGTTGAATGTAATGAAACGCCATTTTCTGGGTGAGTCCCGGAGGCTCCCCGGCATCCCTCCCTCCCTCCGGTCGGCGGTTTTTCGCGTTTTTGACATCCAGCCTCAAGAACTGAGGTGTGGGTAGCCGGCGCGGGGGGTCTGGGGCTCCCCCTTCCCCCTCCCGGGGAGGGGGGAGCTGCGCAGACAGCGGCGCGGCAGTGTGTGACGTCACACTAGTTTGCTTGTTTTCGGTTGGGGAGTTCTATCCACTAGTTCGGTTTTAGGTAGCAATTTTAACCAGAATAGGGGTTTGTTTTGGGGCGCTTACCTTTCTGGGTGCCTGTTCCGGTCGATGGCAGACATAGAATGCTTCCACTAACACGGGGGCTTCTATAGGCCATTGCTCCCCTTGCCTCTCTGAGGGGGCCCGGTTCTGGCCGTGGTCCCCGGTAGGCCTAAGAACTCCATACACATGACTGATGCCAAAGTCTGACATTAGCATATCAGCCTGGGATAGCTCCGGGGAGCCTCCGGGACTCACCCAGAAAATGGCGTTTCATTACATTCAACGCTGGTTTTTTGTTGTAATTTTTACCATGTGGGGTTTGTTTTGTTATGCCTACCTTTCTGGGTGCCTGACCCCGGTCAATGGCAGATAAGGAAAACCCCAACCATATGGGGTTTTCCAGGGCCATTGCTCCCTGAAACCTCTCTGAAGGGGCCAGGTTCTGGTGCTGGTCCCTGGTAGGTTTGAACTCCATAGCTAATGTCCCGGTCTAACATAACTTACATTAGCCCGATAAGGTCCAGGGAGCCGTAGGGGCTCCCCACAGGAAAAAGCATGTCTCCAGGAGGAACAGAACCAGTCCAGGTGTTCAATGGAAATAAACTGCACAGTACCTTCGCTCCTACCAGCGACGATACTACTTCCTACCCAAAGTCAAACAGCGACCTCAAAAACCCCAGCTGACCCCAAGGGCGGGCAATCACTGAGCAGGAAAAGATCCCTACGGAGGTAGTTCCTGAATGGCTTATGGAAGATAACCCTAGACTGCAAGGGCAGTACTTACAGGGAACTTAGGGAAGGGAGCCCTAGGTACATGCAGCGCCAGTACTTTGTGAATTACTCCTGGCTTGAACACCACAACACAGCAGAACATCGCAAGAGCACAGCACTGAACTGAATCTGGAGCCAGATTCGAATGACCGCCACACCAAGCACAAAAGCCTCAAAACTGAAGATGGATACCCGGCATGGGGGCCTGGAGTCCCCCTTTTCCCCTCCCAGGGAGGGGGAGCTGCGCAGACTGACTGTGCGGTGGCGGGTGACTTTCGGTAGCAATGTTTCACCAGTTGGGGTCTGTTTTAGGACACTTACCTTTCTGGGTGCCTAAACCAGTCGATGGCAGACAGACTGCTTCCACCCACAGGATGAGTGGGCCAGGTTCTAGCTCATGGTCCCCGGTAAGCATTAGAACTTCATTTGAAGGACTGTTGCCACAATCTAATATATACATATCAGCCTGGTAAGCTCCGGAGCCTGAGAGGCTCTTCACAGAAAATACAGTGGAACTTGGTTTACGAATGCCCCAAATAACAAATTTTTTGGTATGTGAAGTCAATTTTCTTGTAAAGTTTTACTTTGTGTACGAAGTTTGACCTGGAAAATGAATCGTCTGTTGATACTTGTATGGGTCAAGCACATGGTTCTGCTGGGCACGCGGTGAAGCACGCTCAGTTTACCAATGTATCCCTCCTAGTAATGACTGTGCTTGAATTCTTTGTGAAGAATTTAACACTTTCGTTCCTTAGGGACGGAGATGACGTTCACAAATAACTCTACAGATGTTCCTTAGGGACATCGGTGACATCAAAAATTAAAAGACGTGTGCCAACGTCTTCCCATTCTCTTGCAAACTGAGGTGAAAACTGAGGAGAGAAACTTGAAACCAAAAAAAAAGAAAATTGAGAAAATTGATACCAAAATGAAAGACATAGCACAACAACTGAGGTGACAAAAGTGAAAAGAGAATACACATTTTATTGCTCTTGCACCCTCACTGGCAAAGCTCGGCCAATTTCTGGGTTTGGTGTCGGGTGGCAGGCCGAGCTTTTGAACCTTATATGCATATACCCCTGTAGGGAATTCTATCTGCAAACATTTTGATACCAAAATGAACAAAGTACAATGAAAATTGAGGTGATAAAACTGAAAAGAGCATACACATTTCAGTGTTCCCATGAGCTCACGGGAAATGCCAGAGCCACCTTGGTGTTGTCTGGTGTGCACACGTCCAGAACGCGAAAGTGTTAGTTTTTTTTCTGCTTTTTTTTGTTTCTGAACGTAAACGCCTCTTATTATATATCTCATGCCATGTGTCCCAAGAAAGTCAGTGGTAAAGTTCAACCCAAGAAAATAATTGTGAGTAGAGGCAGTACAGAATGTACCTTCCTAATTAAAAAAATGTTTTCAGTATGGGAAGAACTGTACTGCAAAATTTTGCTGAAAAAATTCACCCAGATAAAGCTGTAGCAGGCCGTTACATAAACTTTTTTAATGACAAACTCACTGTCGCACAGCAAACAAGTGTTAAAACGTAGGGAAAAACATGTCTCTTTAGACAGAATTTTAGTGAGACAAGCAAGCAGTGAGCCACAAGCAGGTCCTAGTGGTATGCCTGCAAAATGTAGGAGAGAGAGAATCCCAGAAATGTCATCAGTGCCTTATGTTATAATAGAAGGGGACTCCCCTTCCTCACACTAACACCACCTCTCCTCTCCCCCTCCTCACACCAACATACGCTAACAAGAGTCCTCAATAAAGGTAAGGTACCTGTATAGTAAAAATTCTGAGTAGAATTCTGTATAAAATATATTTTTAAGTTAAGATTTTTGGGGGCTTGGAACGGATTAATTCAATTTAATTTACATTACGTATTTCTTATGGAAAAATTTGTTCCGGGTTTAAAATTTTCGGTTTCCGAACTGTCTCTTGGAACAAATTTAATTCGTAAATCAAGGGTCCACTGTAATCAAATTCATTCAGTATTGTCAATTTTCATATTAAACATAATGCAGAAAACACAAATTGAGCTTACCTGGCAAACCAGAAGGACTTTTTTATCTTGTCTCTTTACTCTGGCCTTCCTTTCTTTCTTAGCAATACGTCTGGCATCAATGAAGCTATATCCACAGTTGCAGACATGTCGACGAATATGAACGACGACATGGCACGAGGGACACATTTGCTGTAGGCTGCTTTTCAAGACTAAAAAAATAAAGATAATTTTAGGGCATGATAAGGAACAAAGTACAGTATGTTAATAATACTGTATAATATAGATCTCTGCTTGCATTATACCTACTCTGTATGAGCTACATTGGATACTGACAGGTAATAAAGTATATGAGTTGCACAATAATTAGATTATTCAGGATAATTTACCTCAATGTTTATAATTATAAAAATCATAAGTGGCAACTGGAATAAATAAAAATTTTTGCACCTCTTATAATTGTCTTCTAAACTATAATCTGCTATTGTTAGGTGGATGTGGCATGTTGTTTACAGTTGTAGATGACACCAAGATGTATGGTAAAATAGGAAATTAAAATAATATTGAGGCCTTGAGAAGAAATCTATATGAACTCCACAAATAATTGGCAGAATGCCTAATACTGTTTAATATTGAAAAATGCAAGACTATGCATAGCTGAGGGCCACAGGGCAAACAACACTACAAATCAAACATGACAGGGATGATTTCACTTAACTTTTAAAGTATTGAACTGAACAATATGGAGGATAATGATCTAATTCCCTTTAAAAAACCAGTGTTGAATGTAATGAAACGCCATTTTCTGGGCGAGACCCGGAGGCTCTTCCGGAGCCTCTCCTGGAGCTTACTGGGCTGATATGCTAATGTCAGACTTTGGCATCAGTCATGTGTATAGAGTTCTTATGGGCCTACCGGGGACCACGAGCCAGAACCTGGCCCCCCCTCTAGAGAGGCAAGGGGAGAAATGTCCTATAGAAACCCCCATGTGGTTGGAAGCATTCTATGTCTGCCATCGACTGAGTCAGGCAGCCAGAAAGGTAAGCGTCCCCCCAAAAAACCTATTCTGGTGATAATTGCAACCAAAAGTCGAACTAATGGATAGAACTCCCCAAACAAAAACTAGCACACTAGTATGACGTCACCCGTCGCCGCGCCGCCATCTGTGCAGCTCCTCCCTCCCCAGGAGGGGGGAAGCCCCAGACCTCCCACATAACATCAATACCGAAAGCAAGCTGAAGCGGCTTCGTCAGCGCCGCACGATACGAGGTGACAGTGTTAGGCATAAGATGACGGTCCTGAAACAACCAAGAGAGATAGGACAACACGACCCGAACAGAAAGTGAAGTACAACGACGAAGACATAAACGAACCAGAAGGACCGCCAGGAAACTTCATACTGTCGCTGACCTGAAGCCCGCAGGTGGGACACTAACAAGGAAGCCACCTGATCGCCATAAAGATGAGGATAAACTCGAGTCAAAAAGACCATATGCGAAGACTCGAGGAGAAGATCGAACCATTTATGTGACACTCCGGACCGATCTGCTGGAAGAGGCAGAGCTGCAGGAAAACCTCCGGGTTTGGACACCGAGCAAGCAGCGCCTGAAACCACAGCTGGGCCGGCCACCATGGGGCCACGAGGACTACTCGACCCTGGTAAGTCACCAAGCGAGTCAGGACCTGGAGCAATAGCTGAACCGGGGGAAAGAAGTAGAGAAACCCCCACCTCAACCAGTCCTGCCGAAAAGCATCGACCCCGACGGCCTCGCAGTCGAAGGGCGCCACATAAAGGGGAAGGCGCCGCGACCACGTCGATGAGAAGAGTTCCACCTGGGGGCGTCTGAACGTCTAGCAGAGCTAACGGAAGGAGTCGGCGTCAACCGTCCATTCCGTGGAAAGGGGAACAAAACGAGACAGGCCGTCCGCTAAGATATTAAACACTCCCCGCATGTGAACAGCCAGGATAGCCAAACCCCAAAAACTCAGGAGACGAGTCACTTGAAGTGAAGAGCGCCAAAGACCCAAGGACTGCATCGAACCGCCTAGGATCAGGCAATGAACCACCGGGGAGCAGTCCGAACGGAGCCAGATCGTCGATCCGCAGGCGACTCGAATCCTCCAAAGGGCAAACGACACTGCCACGAACTCCCGAACAGGTGCTGTGGGCTCAACGGAAGGACAGACCCCACCGTCCCTGGCCGGACTAGTGAGCACTGGTCACAAAGCCCCAGCCGAGACACGACGCGTCCGTGAACACATCGAACGAAGTCGAGGGCAGGCGCCAAGGCACTGAACCCTGAAAAATCCAAAGAGGAAGCCGGCCCAGGGATTGAACCCAGTGATCGCGAGAGAGAAGGAAGGGACATCCCCGAAGGAACTAGAACAGCTGATGAAGCCAAATACGACCCGGCGTGTAGACCATCATCGCAAAGTTCAGGCTCCCGCACAAACCTTTGAGCAACCGCCAGGTGACCCGGGAGCCCCCCAGAAACAGGAGCAAATGGGACTGCAGCCAGAGGAAAGATTATGGAGGAAGAGATAAGGAACCTGTTTGAGAGTCCCACACAAGACCCAGCCACGACCGAACCTGGGAGGGAACCAGATGGGACTTCCTCCAGTTCACCAAGAACCCAAACCCGGCAAGCTGGGAAAGAACCAAATCCCTGGCTAGCAGACAACATGACCGGCTGGGAGCCCAAACCAGCCTGTCGTCGAGGTAGGCCAACAACCGAACACTTAAGAGATGTAGACGGGCCACGACAACCCGCGTAAAGAGTGTGAACACGCGAGGTGCCACATTCAACCCGAACGGGAGACAATGAAAGAGGTAACCTTGACGCCCCACCACAAAACTGAGCTAGTCCCTGAACTCCGGATGAATCGGAACGTGCCAATAAGCGTCCCGGAGATCCAGGGACACCACCCAAGAACCCTGCTCCAAAAGGAGCCGAACCTGGGACAGCATAGTCATCTGAAAGGAGGAGGCAATGAACCCAGGGGTTCAGACGGGACAAGTCCAGAATGAACCTCAAGTCAGCACCGTAGGACAGTCCGCCAGCCAGGACGACTCTGGAACCTCGTAACGGACCCAGAAAAGGAACTAAGCCTGAAAGATGACGGATCCATCACCGAGGCATAATCCGGGTCACGCAGGAGGTTAGTTGCAAGGGCTGCCCGAAAACCCTCTGGAAAGACAAAACCGATGCACTCGGGGAACACGGAACCGAACCTGGGGAGGAGCAAACACCAAATCCAGCTCATACGCAAAGGGGGGAAAAGAGAGCCCCACTTCTTGTAACAATAAGCCCCGCTCAGAGGGTAGAAAAACCCAGGCGGGGTTCAGAGGGGCCCAAGGTCCCCAAGTCAGCCCCTCCCCCGCCCCAGGATTCTCCTTCGCAGGACTCTCCCAAAGCATCAGCCCCTAAAGAAAAGGCCGATGCAACGGAGGAAGCCAGACAGAATGGGGCCCACTGGTTAGACCCAGAAGCTTCGGTAGGGAGACCGGACTTGAATACCTCTATCGCTACACCGGAAGGGGCATCCCGCAAGACCACCCGAGTCTCAAGACCATCTAAACCCTGCTCCGACTCCGAAACTCTTAGATGTTTTGGGGCCAGAAGCAGGGGGAGGGGAGGGGACCAGAACGAACCACAACAGGGGGGAAGGATGAGGGAGCACGGACTGAACCAAGGTCGAAACGACCCCCACCCCCAAGTCCGGGTCCTTATAGGCAAAACGGGGCAGCCTCGGGACATCCGGGTGAGCAACCAACCTAGTGCGTTGCAACAACGTAAAGCGCACACGCAACGCCTGTGCCGCCTGCACCCTGAGAACATCATCATTAAATTGGGTAAACTGAGTCACTAGCAAGCAGCAGTACTCACAGGACTCCGGGTTGAAAGTGTCACCGACCCAACAGGCAGTCTGATGGAGGCAAAAACAGTGAGGGTCACCCTGAGACAAGGGGACCGAGCAACCCTTGAACTCGCACAAAGCGAAGGGGGACTCCAGGGACACATTCATCAGACCCACGCACACCCGAGGGGTTTACCAGGGTCCTGAGACGGAACTCACGCTCAGGGAATCCCAGGCAGGGTATTGCTACCCGGCACCCACAACTACTAATCAACTTTCTAAAGCTGAACCCCAGGGATGTGTACACTCATGGGGACCTAGCAGAGGGCACCACCAGAAAAGAACTGTGCTCAGGTCAGGCACAAAGGGGTAAGCAAGGCAGACCCCTCACAAGGCAAAAACAAAAAGAAGAACAAAACCCCGCAAGAGGATAACGAACCACAAGGAACAGTCATCGGCTGCTGTGAATGGTGAAAACAAGCTGCACAGCACCCTGCGCTCCATACCAGTGCAAACTGCCTCTTACCCTAAGGTAAACAAGGAAGACAAAACCCCCAAGCACCAAAAAGGCTGCCGAAAAACCGAGCAGTAATACGGGCTAGCAGAGGCAGTACCCAAGGAACTTGTATAAGGTGGCCCCAAGCTCCAAGGGCAGTACTTACAGGACACCTAGGGACAATAACCCTAGGCATATGCAGCCTGAGTACTGCAGAATAACTCCTGGCTCTCGCACCCCTGGAAGACAGCCACCACACTTAAAGCACAGTGCTGGAATCACTGGAGCCAAGCACACGACTTCTGCCTCTAGCATCAGCCTTAGAACTAACAGGTGGATAGCCGGCGTGAGGGGTCTGGGGCTCCCCTTCCCTCTCCCTGGAAGGAGGGAGCTCCGCAGGCAGCAGCGCGGCGACGTGTGACATCATGCTCGTTTGCTCGTTTCTTTTAGGAGAGTTCTATGCACTTGTTCGGCTTTTGGTAGCAATATTTTCACCAGAATAGGGTTGTGTTTAGGGATGCTTACCTTTCTGGGTGCCAGACCTGGTCGATGGCAGACACAGAATGCTTCCAACCACACGGGGGTTTCTATAGGCCATTGCTCCCCATGCCTCTCTGAGGGGGCCAGGTTCTGGCTCATGGTCCCCGGTAGGCCCACAGAACTCAATACACATGATTGATGCCAAAGTCTGACATTAGCATATCAGCCTAGTAAGCTCAGGGAGCCGACGGGGTTCTTCCCTAAAAAAGGTAATGCAGGAGGCTGTGCTGAGGTGAAGGCTACAAACGGAGAACCGCAGGAGCTCCAGAAGCTCCACAAAGTGCACTCCAGGAAAATGACGAGGGAGAGGCAGGCCCGAAGAGCCGAAGTGCAACCCCCACAAGCACAAGAGGAGTACAGCGAGATATTTACAAAGTTGCCAAAGTAACCGATGACACCTTAGCAAGAATGCAGGAAACACAGAGCCATCCATGTACCTCCCCACTCCTAACTAAGCAGACATAATCCAAACCAGAAATATGTCACACAAAAGGGAACAAGAGCATCACCAGTACGAACAAGAGTGCATGAACTAAATAAAAACCACCGCAGAAAGCAAACGCAAACGCCCAGCTGCCATATGTAAACACGACTTGCAGCACCACCTTAGGGACCAGTCAAGTCAGTTCCTGTTTTCCTTGGCTCCCGGACACCCTCCTTCCCTTGGGAGTCTGGTCATTTCATCATTCATCAAGTTGAAGGTGGAGCAGCCTGTAAGCTGTAGCCTGCTTGATACCTGCTTGATGGGGTTCTGGGAGTTCTATTCCCCATGCCCGATCTGAGGCCATTCTTGACTTGCCAGAGCTTGGTCCACCAGGCTGTTGCTTGGAGCGGCCCGCAGGCCCACATATCCACCACAGCCCGGTTGGTCTGGCACTCCTTGAAGAAAACTATCTAGTTTTCTCTTGAAGATGTCCACGGTTGTTCCGGCAATATTTCTTGTACTTGCTGGGATGATGTTGAACAACCATGGACCTCTGACTTTTATACAGTTTTCTCTGATTGTGCCTATGGCATCCCTGCTCTTCACTGGTTATATTCTGCATTTTCTTCCATATTGTTCACTCCAGTATGTTGTTATTTTACTGTGTAGATTTGGGACCTGGTTTTCCGGTATTTTTCCACATGAATATTATTTTTTTCCATTAGCATAGCATAAAGTTAAAATTGAGCTTACCGGGTAAACCTGAAAGATTTACATTTTCTGGTCTCTCTACTTCTGTCTGAGCCTCGCTTTCCTCCTCAGCTTTACGTCTGGCATCAATAAAGCTATACCCACAGTTGCAATTATTTCGACGAATATGGATGACATCATTGCAAGAGGGACAGAACGTCTGCACTCTGCTTTTCAAGACTGAAAAATAATGATAATTTTAGGTATGATAAAGTGTGTAATATGTTGATAATATAATACAGATCTCTGCTTTGCACTGTAACTACTTTATGTGAGCTACATTGGATTCTGATAGTTAATAAAGTGTATGGGTTGCACAGTAATTAAACTATTCAGGAAAATTTACTGTATTTGCCGGCATAAAAGACACACCCTCACCTAGGACACACCTCTATGTTACAAGGATATTTTGCGAAAAAACCCAGCGTTGAATATAATGAAATGCCATTTTCTGGGTGAGCCCCGGAGGCTCCCTGGAGCTTATCGGGCTAATGTATGTTATGTTAGACCGGGACATTAGCTATGGAGTTCAGACCTACCAGGGACCAGTGCCAGAACCTGGCCCCTTCAGAGAGGTTTCAGGGAGCAATGGCCCTGGAAAACCCCATATGGTTGGGGTTTTCCTTATCTGCCATCGACCGGAGTTAGGCACACAGAAAGGTAGGCGTAACAAAACAAAACCCCACATGGTAAGAAACTACAACAAAAACCGAACAGAGAGGAAGAAAACTCCCTACAATCCCAAGGAAAACAATCAAACAATCAATTTGCTGCCGCGCCGGTCGTCCGCACAGCCTTCCCCTCCCCGGGAGGGGGAGGGGGAGGGGGGGCCCCGGACCTTACCACGCCGGCTGCCTTCAGTTCGGAAACTAGGTTTCAACCAACGCGAAAAATCCCGCCGACCGGATGGGAGGGAGGGTAGCCAGGGAGCCTCCGGGGCTCACCCAGAAAATGGCGTTTCATTACATTCAACGCTGGTTTTCTGTGGGAAGCCCCTACGGCTCCCTGGAGCTACATACCCAAACAGAAGGAAAAAAAGGGGACTTACCCGGGAGGCGGCGACCACAAACTCCTCAACGTGAAGTCGAGACAATTGGCTGCAACCTGCAACCCACAGCAACACAAGAACGCCGAGGAGCAGGCACGTTCACCAAATAACGGGCGGCCAGGACCCTGTTCGACTTCCAAAATCCACTCGCCCGAATATGTGCCCAAGACATGTTACCAAACACGGCAGCCAAAGCCGCAAACTTCCTAACGTCATGGGCGCGAGGATAGACTGCAGGCTGGCTAGACTGAATAACCCTGTGAACAACCTGGGAGACCCGAGCCCTGGAACAGGGAATGAGGGAAACCGGATCAACCCAAAGCGCATCCCCAGCCACCCCGGCTGAAGCGCGCAGGTAACGGCGAAGTGCTGCAATTGAACACAACACATGATGCACCCCCGGCCGAACCAACCAAGCATCAATGACCCACGGACCCCTCCGGAAAGCAGCCGTCTCGTTCTTCACCAGAAAAGATGGAGAAGGCTGCAAGCAGACAAACCTACCCCCAGGACCAAAAGAGCAGAAACCCCTGCGCCGGAGGAGAGCATGAAGCTCCCCTACCCGGCCCCCAGAGGCCAATGCCAACAAAAACAAAGCCTTGAAAAAAATCAGGAACCGAAGGGGCCACCACAAACCGAGGAGAGGAAAGATATGAGAGCACCCTGTCCAAGGATCAGGACGGCTCAGGAGGCGCATGAGCAGGCTGGAGGTGAAACATAGCACGGGAAAGCTTACGAAACGGGGCGGATGTGACGTCCACCCCCGAAGCTAGCTTGAACGGCTCCGCCAGCGCTGCACGATAAGAGGCGACAGTATTAGGCATCAAATGACAGTCCTGAAAAAGCCAAGAGAGAAAGGACAAAACAACTCGATCTGAAAGAAAAGACAACCTACGAAGAGCCAGAAAATGGCGAAAAGAACTGCACGAAACTTCATACTGTCGCCGAGACGAAGCTCTCAGGTGGGATACCAGCAACGAAGCCACCTGATCACCATAGAAATGGTGATACACCGGCGTCAAAAAGACCAGACACGAAGAGTAGAGGAGAAGGTCGAACCAGCCCTGTACCGGATCGGACCAACCTGCTGAAAGAGGCGGAGCCGCGGGAAACGTCCTGGGTTCGGGCACCGCGCCAATAGCACCGGAAACCAAGGCTGGGCCGGCCACCATGGGGCCACATGGACTACTCTCCCTGGGAATGTCTCCAACTGAACCAGAACCCGAAGCAACAGCTTACGAACTGAAGGCAGCCGGCGTGGTGAGGTCCGGGGCCCAACCTTCCCCTCCCGGGGAGGGGAGGGCAGCGCGGACATCCGGCGCGGCAGTAAATTGATTGTTTGATTGTTTCCTTGGGATTGTAGGGAGTGTCTACCTCTCTGTTCATTTTTGTTGTTGTAGTTTCTTACCATGCGGGGTTTGTTTTGTTACGCCTACCTTTCTGGGGTGCCTAACCCCGGTCGATGGCAGATAAGGAAAACCCCCAACCATGATGGGGGTTTTCCAGGGTCATTGCTCCCTGAAACCTCTCTGAAGGGGCCAGGTTTTGGCGCTGGTCCCCGGTAGGTCTGAACTCCTTAGCTAATGTCCCGGTCTAACATAACATACATTAGCCCGATAAGCTCCAGGGAGCCGTACGGGCTCCCCACAGAAAACAGCATTGAATGTAATGAAACAGCATTTTTTGGGTGAGTCCCGGAGGCTCCCCGGAGCTATCCACGCAGAATGGATATGTTTAACTTTCTAGCATCAGTCAATGCATGGAGTTCTTGCCTACCAGGGACCACGAGCCAGAACCTGGCCCCCTCAGAGAGGCATGGGGAGCAATGGCCTATAGAAACCCCCATGTGGTTGGAAGCATTCTATGTCTGCCATCAACTGGGTCAGGCACCCAGAAAGGTAAGCATCCCAAAACAAACCCCTATTCTGGTGAAATTATTGCTACCAAAAGCCGAACAAGTGGAAAGAACTCCCCTAAAAGAAACGAGCAAACGATCATGACGTCACATGTCACCGCGCCGCTGTCTGCACAGCTCCAGCCCCAGACCCCTCACACCAGCTATCCACCTGTCATTTCTGAGGCTGGTTGTCAAAACACGAAAAAAAACGCCAACCGGGGGAAGGAAGGAATGCCGGGGAGCCTCTGGGTCTCACCCAGAAAATGGCGTTTCATTACATTCAACACTAGTTTTCTGGGGGAGCCCCTTTGGCTCCCCAGAGCTAACTACCCACAGAGGAAAAACTTAGGGACTTACCCGGGAGGCAGTCGGTGCTCACTCCACAACTCGAAGTTGAGACAACCGGCTGCAACTGCCAACCCAAAACGGATGCCAAGAGACACAGGCCCGACTAAGCTGAGGGATGTGCATGAGGTAACAAGCAGCCAGGACCCAGTACAACTGCCAAAAGCCCCGTGCCCAAATGTCAGCCCAGGACATGGTGCCAAAGAAGGCAGTGAACGCACGAATGTCATGGGCACAGAGATAGACTGCAGGCTGGTTAGCCGTAAGAACTCTGCAGACGACCCGGGAGACCCTCACCCGCGAACAGGGAGAAGGGGAACCAGATCAACCCAAACTGCGTCCCCGGATACATAGGCCGAGGCGCGCAAGTAACAGCGAAGAGCCGCCACCGAACACAAAACATGATGTACCCCTGGCCCAACCAACCAAGCATCAACAACCCAGGGACCCCTCCGGAAAGCAGCAGTCGCAATCTTCGCCAGAAAAGGAGACGGCTGCAAATGAACAGAACCATCATGAAGACTGAAAGAGTAGAAACCCCTGCGCCGGAGGAGAGCATGAAGCTCCCCAACCCGACCCCCAAAGGCCAATGCCAACAGAAAAGAAGCCTTTGAGAACAATCCTAACCGAAGGGGCCACAACAAACCGAGGAGGTGAAGAAAGAAAAGAGCACTCTGTCCAATGACCAGGACTGCTCAGGCGGTGCAAGAGCAGGCCGGAGGTGGAACAATACACGAGACAGCTTGCGAAATGGCACAAAAGGAACACAAAAATCCGAAAGCAAGCCGAAGCGGCTATGCCAGCGCTGCACAATACGAGGCGACAGTATGGGGCAAGATGACGGCCCCAAACCTCCACAAGAAAAGGACAAGGCCATGCCAACAAACGCAGTTACCGAAGAAGGGACAGAAGGAAAAGGAAGGACCGCCAAAAACCCCACACTGCCGCCAAGAAGAAGCACGCAGGTGGGACCCCATCAACGAAGCCACCCGACCACCAACAGAAGGTGAGAGACTCGAGGCAGAACCGAACCAGCCCCCGCCATGGGCCAATCGAGCCTAGGAAGAGGCGGAGCTGCAGGAAGATCTCGGGTGTGACCACGGAGTCAGCAAAGCCGGTAACCCAAGCCGGCAAAGGAGGAGATGGAACATCCGCCATACAGAAAACATCCCAACTCCCGCGAGCCCGCCAGGAGATCGGAGACGACAGTCCCGAAACGCGATTCGAGAGAAGGGAAACCGAGACAACATGAAAACGCCAACAGACTAGTACCCAAACCAAGGAATACGAGCTACGAGAACATGAACACCACATCGAAGATTCCCAAAGGAAGCAATAAGGCATAAAAAGACTGACTACGGGACCCCAGGGGCACACGCACCAGGGGACACAGGTGAAATGAGAACCCAAATGAGCCGAAGAGACATGGGAAAGAAGTAGAGCAGTGTCAGAGTAGTAGACAAGTGGAACGCACGAGGAAGCGATGTGGCAGAGAATGACACCACACACAGCTTCAAGCGCAGATATGACAGAGCCCAGCAGGCCCAGGAACCTGCACATGAGCAAATGACAGGTGAGAAGTGGGACCAAAAAGCCAGAGCCCAACACCCGCAACACAACTAAGGAAGAACAACTAGGTAAGTACCATATAGAGAATCCAATGTATATGGAAGGTCGAAGCCAGGCACTGCAAGACGTGCAAGGAAAAAGTGACCCAGATAAGACCATGAAAAATGGGGCCATGACCCCCTTTGCAACCATTAACCCAGAGGAACAAGTAAGGCCCCAGGAAGAAACACGGAAGGGCCAAACAAAAAACCAGCGTTGAATGTAACGAAACACCATTTTCTGGGTGAGTCCCGGAGGCTCCCCGGAGCTATCCAGGCTGAA